CCTCCCCCCCTCTAAAATCAATTCTCTCCTGGAGAACGTCTTCGTGAGCCTCTCATGATTTCAGGATAGTTGAAACCCTCTTGCCCTCTTGAACATTCAGAAAGAGTGCATATGAAATTTGAATTACGAAATGTGTTCTCGTTAAAATACCATTCTCTCCTGGAGACCGTCTTCGTAAGCGTCTCTGTGTTCCCCGAAAGGATCGCAAGGTGTTACGTACCTAGAGTTTATTTTCTTCTCTCCTGGGGCCTCTTAATTCAATTCTCTCCTGGAGCACGTCTTCGTGAGCCTCTCATGATTTCAGGATAGTTGCAACCCGCTTGAACATTCAGACAGAGTGCATATGAAATTCTAATCACGACAGGTGTTCCCCGAGGGGATACATACCTAGAGTTTGTTTTGTGAACCACGTCTATTCTCTTTGGGGAACGTCTTCGTGAGTCTCTTCTGGTTTCAGAATAGTTTAAACCCTATGATGCTCCGGTTCTATGCTCACCGATGATCTGAGCCATGGGGCGAGGTTGTTTCCCTAAGAACCTTTCTGAACATTTCGAGAGCATATGAGCAACGGCTTCTATTTGCGGTAGTGGTGATTCGTCTAGGGGCGTTCCTTTTCTATAGCCCAATGTCAGAGTTAGTTGGCGAAACGAGGTAGGAACACCCCGAAAACGAGATGGGCATCAAATGCGCCATGTGTTTGCAATGGTTTGGTTAATGACATGTTTAGCTTGTGAAACGAGGTAGGAAGACCTCTCGAGAACGAGATGGGTTTCCACACACCAAAACGAAATACAGGCATGGAGACCGAGATCACACACCAAAAACGATGCGGGCTTGGAGACCGCTGCTGTGGCTCGAAGTATGCCACTCGCGTTCTCTTCTCTTCCCGCTGTCCTACCTTTCGTGTCTCCCTCCTCTCAAGTATCAAAAATTAAGCAACTTTTTCAGTATATAGGAAAGTAAGTTTTAGTTTTCCATTTAGAGTAAATTTAGTTGACAAAGTAAACCAATCTAGCTACCAAAGTAAATTAATTTAGTTTACAAAGTAAGTTTTTGGTTGTCCCAAATTATGTTTCTTTATTGCGCTGGTCCGCTTTGCTGGAACAGATTAGACTCATTCATATTCTTGTTTCTTTTGCAATGGCCTGGCTGATGTGAGGTGGGGAAAACTAGGTGGTATGGATATGTGTTTCATGTCACGCACGGAATATATGTAGTTTGGTTGGTTGGTTGGTTGGTTGGGTGGGTGGGTGGGTGGGTGGGTGGTTGTGGTTGTGGTTGTGGTTGTGGTTGTGATTGGTTGGTTGGTTGTGATTGATTGGTTGGTTGGTTGGTTGGTTGGTTGGTTGGTTGGTTGTTGCTGGTTGTCGGTTGTCGGTTGCCTACAACCGCAACCTAATGGGGATGGCCTCCAACCCAACAGCGCCGGCCTCCAACGTGCCAGTGAGGGCCTCCAACCTAATAGCGATGAACCCTAAACATTGCCCAAACAAACCTTCCTATAGATACCAAACCCGAAACAAAACCGAAACAATCCCGAAAGAAGTGAAGCCTGAAACCAACCCTAAACAACCCAGAAGTTAAGCCCTGTACCAACCCTAAGCCAGGCAAAACAAAGCCTAAACAAAACCAAACCCTGAACCAAACCCAATCAAATTCGCGTAAGGAAACCAAACCCTAAACAAAACCCAATCAAAAACCCTAAAGAAGCCAAACCCCAAGCCAAACCCAAGGAAATCCTCCCAAAGAAGTCAATCCCTGAAAAAGAACAACACAAACCGTAAAGGAATCAACCCTAAACCAAACCTGACGGAACCCTAAAGAAGTCAACCCTAAACCAACACAAACAACCCCCAAAGAAGCCAAACCCCAAACCAAACCCAAGGAACCCCCCTAAAGAAGTCAAACCCTAGAAACAAACCAAAACAAACCCTCAGGGAGTCAAGCCGTAAACCAAGCCCAACCAAAGCCTAAAGAAGCCAAGCCTCAAACGAAACCCAAACAAAATAATAGCGGTGGCCTTTAACCTAATAGCGATGGCCTCCAACCTACTCGCGATGGACTCCAACCTACTAGCTTCAATGCACTTGCAGGTCTTAAGCTTCCACTGCATCGGCGAAAAAGTTGAGAGACTCTTGCTGAAACGATATTCTGCAGTCTTTTTGCAATGCTCGCAGGTACCCGGATTCTGAAGCTGGTCGAAGACAGCTTCAACTTGATCTCTTCAGCCCGGAGGTCAAAGACGATCCTTTTGCTATTGCCTCAGATATGCAAAAAACCTACAACTCATCCATCGTCTGCCCAATTCGACTCCAGGCTATTCTGAATGTTTGGTTGTGTTGCAATGAAGAACCAGCAGTTGGGATTCTCTGTTTTTTTGGTTGTACCCCCCGCCAAGGTTCAAGCAGCTGATCTAAAGCTACGGCTTATTAAGTGCGCTTGAGATTGCCTTGAGGAAACAAACAGCTTGCACTCTGCTCGGAGGTACACTGGCCCTTCCAGGAAGTGAGGCTTTCACTGCTATGTGGAAGGAAGGCTTCGGTACTGTACAACACTGAAGCCGCACTGTACACTCAAGCCTGCAAAGGCCTCCAACCTTGTAGCGATGACCTCCAACCCAACAATAGCTTCAATACACTTGTGTTGATATGAAGCCTCGCAAAGTGGCCGAATAAGTCATTGAGGCTTCTGACTCACCCTGAAAAGCGGTTTGCGAAGACCCATGAGGCAAAGACACCGTCTCACAGGAGGCAAAGAGCCTCAGCTTAGCATCCCCGTGCGATAAATTGTGCTTCTGCATGGAGCAACACGAGACTCAATCTTTTTAAAGCACACTTTCTCTATTTCTTTCTTTTATCCTTTCTTTTGGTTCTACGATGTGCTATGGCTTAGCTGAGCAGATCTGAAGATGAAGCATCATGCCCACGTGCGCTGGCCCTCAAGTAGCAAAGAGCCACTGCAGATGCTTTTCCTGCAACAGTGATCTCTGCCAACCACACTTTCAATATTTGGCACGACATTATAAAGAATTCTCGTGAACCAGGCGGCTGATAGCGCTCTTGCGTGTGCCAGGGCCCACTTGAGCTCGGTGGGCTTCTCTTCAGCTTTTCTCTTAGACTGCATTAGTTTTGTTTCCTGCGGGCGTCGGGCATTGTACATCGCCATGGGTTCTCAAGCTGCAATGTGATGAGTCGCGATGTAATCAGCTTGTGAAGCAGCTTGTGAAGCAAGTGCGGCTCGGAGTCAATAGCTTGCGAAGCTAGTAAGTAATTAGCAACATGTCTAATGTCTAGTCTATGCGACTACAACCTGTGCCTGGCTTGTGGAAGCATCAGGTAAGCCGTCGGTTTTTTCGTCTCATTAGGCTGATTAGGTTTGGCATGCCTCACTTGGACGGCTTTACTTGCTTTCTACTCATTTACTGCTTACTCTAGGTTTGAAATGGCTCAACTTGTGTCTCACAAAGTTTGTTTGGTTCGGAGTTCCATTGAGTCAGCTTCACTTCTCAGCTTTAAGGTGAAGCACGGCCGAGCAGAGGTACCTTTGGTGGGCCAAGAGGCAAAGTGCGCTTCGCAAAGCTCCGTAGAAAGGGACCTACTAGGAACAAGGACGCTACTAGGGGCTCCTGGCCGTACTACTAGGAGCAAGAAGCTACTAGGCAAAGTGCGCTTCGCAAAGCTCCGTAGAACAGAACTATGTCGCAAGACGACTTTCCGACAATTTGGCAGGCAGAGTCGGCATCAGCATCTCAGGCTGAGTTCAAAGTCCGCTGTGATTCGTTTCACCATTCCTTGAAATGGGAAAACAACAAAACGATAATCGCACATGAAAGAGAAGCTAATCTAAGGTTGACGGACCCCTCCCTTCCTTTGTAATCTCCTTTTTCTTGTTTCCCTATATCCACATTATCCATGTGCAAAAGTATGGTTCCAGTTGGCTGCAGAGCTTGGCTTAGCGAGCAGCATGACTGCGGCCTCATGGCTTTAAGTGGTACATGACGCAGCAATGGCCTGGTAGCTTGGGCCTGCCCGTATTGACTGGACCAGCCTTCCTATTGCAGGCGGAGTAAGATACCGGCTTGGCAAAGGGGCGAAAAGCTATGTACTCCATACTTCTATACCAAGTGTTGAAAACTCTACTTTGAGCAAAAGAAGACAGGAAAGGCAGAACGCTGTAAAGAAAGAAGAAAAGGTTCCTGCTAAATTACAAAGAGTTAAATGAACTCTACTTTGAGACTCCACAAATCAGTCATCGCTGTGGGATGTTTACAGCAACAGTGGCATCAAGCAAACTTTGGCCATCCGTCACCAAACATCGTAATGCGACAGTCAATTGCATTCAAATCATGACCATGTTGACTTGCATAACTCGTCTGCAGGTATCCCCTTCCACAGGCCTGTGTGAAGCCAGGACGCAGGGCAATGACGAGGCCAAGTGCTTTGTTTTGATGGCTCATTGACCTTAGCTGTTGCTTAGATGGCACGTTGTCAATGGTTTTCAACGGTTTCAACCTCGCGTCGGCACCTCATTGTGTTTCAGCCTTCGCAACGCTGGCCTTGGTGTTTTTGCCTCTGAAAATAGATCTATTGCTTAGACGCTTACAAGATTTGACAAGATCTTTACATGTTGGAGAAGGCCATGGCTCCTCGCACACAGCATGATGAGAAGTGTTTCTGGATATTTTTTCACCTTGCAGTGGCAGCAGCAGGAACCCGAACATACTCTTGAGGACCATAGTTAGACTGTCCGCGTTAACATCCAAGACAGTAGGTTTAGCCGTTAGTTTAGGCAGCGCTGTGAGTTTGCGTCTCAAGAATTCCCTTTGTGATTCCGGTACCAAACCGTCGCTGTGAGTTTGCACCTTGTCGTAGCTGGAACTTACTCCGAGACTTGCCAGGCGCACTGTGCGGAAGACAAGACGGAGACCAGCGACCGGACTCACCCAAGACGGCTTTTGTTCCTGGATGTCGATGGGGTCTTGCACCCGCTGAAGGCCCAAGTCTCTTCATTTTCATCTACAACACCACCACCAACAGCAACACATAATACTACCGTATATTCTAAGGGCTCCGCCCCTGGTGCCGCCGACCCCTTTTTTGTGAGACAAGGCAGCAGGGCTAGGAAGGCAACAACCGAGCCACAGACATAGTTCTGTTGCGGACACTCCGGCGAGATGGAGGAGGTGCAGCGCCTGGTGACTTCAGGAGCTGATATTGATGCCAGAGACGAGAAAGGCTCGGGCCCCCAGACTTGTGGGAGCTAGAAGGATAGCTTTCCCCAAACCCATAGTAGAAAAATGTAGCTTTGGAGACCTTGAACAACCTTGGACATACTTGGAAGCTGCATGAAGTTGGCTGATGTTGCAGCTTTGTGGGTCCAAAAAACCTTTACAGTGAGGACCCTTTCCTTGAAAAATCGTAAGCTTCCCATAGCGTGAAAGTAACATCCGAGAGCGTTTGAGTTTCATAGTCTTTGTCGGTGACTCCCTTCATCGGCAAAGCATGGATCGAGCTGAGTGAAGCTTCCTCCGCACCCTTCTGCACTTCTGAGGCTTCACTCCATTGCTTGTGGCGGCACTTGCGGGCCTCCTGGACGTGGTCGAACGGCTCGCCGAAGCCAAGGCCGAGTGGGAGGCGAAGGGTGGCGAGAACATCCGGGGAGCCCCAGAGGCTTGGAAGGCTTGGAAGGTCGGAAGGGCGATCAGATTTCCGATCGTTTTCGGCCCGAAAAGGTCGGTCCAAAAATGGAAGACAAAGAGACGCGTGAGAGGCCTGAAGAAATTGAGGGGACAGTCTGCCCAAAACATATAAGGTCGATTCATGTCTTATAAACACTTCATCCAAACTTGCATGTTGATTATTGTTTGGCAAGAATAGGATGCTTGTTTGTACGGCCGGGAACCCTGGAGCTCGAGGACGGAACCATTTGCAAGACACTCGTAAGACAGTCGAAAGGTCCCCATGGAAGATGTTAAGACAAGAAGAGTTGTGGTTTGGCAGGTTTTGAAGACTGTTATGATGCTCTTGGAGCTGCAAAGCCACTGGAGGCAATAGCCTGTGCAGTGGAGAAACAAACTTCCAATTTGCTGGGTGCGAGTTTTCGGGAGATGCTCCCTCCAAAGTAAAAGAGAATTCCAAATGTCCAAAGTGACCCATTCCTCATGAATTGTGCGGGGCATCAACTTCTTTATCACGTTGACTTAAAGCAACTTCTTTTCACGTCTTTTTTCCACTACCTCTCCGCGGAGAAAACCAAGTCCTTGCGACTCTTCGGCGGCGCCACGGCCGAGGCTCTACGCCGCTGCATCTCGAGGCGCTGCGCGGCCACCCCTCCACGGTGGATCGGCTCGTGGGGGTGGGAATGAGTCGAAAGTCTGCGGTTTGTCGGCCAAATTTGTTATTCTGATCAGGTCAAAAGGGCGAGTTCGGAAGGGAGAACCAGAAAGAGCGCGAATCTGGATGAGTTGTGGCTCATGATGAGTCGAAAGGCAATGGAAAGGACCAATGTGGAGCAACTGGATCAATTTCTTCCTGGCTTTTATTCAATGCTGTGACAAAAGGTTGTTTTGTGCCCTGCAAGCGACAGAACATGAAGGGAGAGAGCTAGAACCAGGAGATCTCAAGACTATAAGCAACACACCGGTGAGATTTCGAGCATACGCAAACCAAAGTGACCTCCCATTCTTCATGAGTTGAGAGGGGCGTCAACTTCTTAGTCACGTTGACTTAAACCAACTTCTTTCCGTTTTTTTCGTCCACCTCTCCCGGCAGGAAATCGCTTCATCCAAACTTGCATGTTGAAAGCTTTTTGTTTGTGCGTTTGAATGCGATGCAGACTTCGTGAACCCGAGAATCCCTCCCAAAAAGCAAAGCAAATCCGTGAAACCCTCCAAAAAGATCCAACTCCACGTGCACGCGCCTTTCCGCTGATTCCCTTCCTGCAGACCTTCCAAAAAGAGGAAACATTCTCCGCTCATCCTCCGCGCCGCCACGTCCTGAGGCGAAACGCCTCTCCAGGCGGCGGCCATGCTCGGCCAATCCGACACGGCGCAGCGCTTGGTCGACCTTGGCGCCGACGTGACGCCCGGAGCGCCGACGTGACGCCGTGGCTTGTCAAAGCTGCAGCGGTGTTGCGGGCTTTGGTGGCCAGCTGACCCATCCTTAGGCAGCAGTGGGGTATACTGAAGTTTGGGACTTGTTCAAATCGGTGTCGAAATCCTTTTTCGATTGCTCTTCAGCTGAAAGCACCGGCAAAACAAGAAAATACACCAACTTCGAACATGGTTGCAAGGAACAAAAAAGAAAGTGTGATAGGCGGCCTTTGTTTTCTTCGGCTTCTGGATCCTCTTTGGGTCGGCACCGTTGGTCGGGTCACCGCCAAAGTTGGCATGAGCACCAAAACCGGCTTGCTCAGAGGTCATACGGTCAGCCAGCGCTTCCCAGAACCGCAGCGTTTTGTCAGTGTTGCATGGGGACACTGCACATGCCCAAGAATGAAGTAGGCGAAGTAAAGAGAAAAGGAAGAAAGCAAGAAAGGAATATATGAAAGGAAGGAAAGAAAGGAAAGAAAGACAGGAAAGAAGTTGAGTTCAAAGAAGGCCAGCGCCAAACGAAATAGTTCTCCAACCAAGTATAGGGAAAACAACTTGGAGCAGACCCATCCGCCGCAATGGCAAAGCGTTCAGGCCGAAAGGCCAAAAAAGGTGTTGTGATGAAGACCTTGAAACGTGGTGCGAAAGCCCAGCGCCCGGAGGAAACTTTCAAAAAGTTTCTGCGGCTGGCACGGAAAGTGCGCAATCCAAATGAATGTTTGGCACAGAGGGCGGCAAGGGCTGCAGTTTGTGTTTCTTCGGGGAAGGCACCGACGTCCGACCAGATCGAGACTTGTGGTGAGTTCTTGTTCCGTTGCCGAGATCCAGCAGACGTTGTGGTGGCGCATATCTTGCACCGAGAAGGACGTGGGGATTTGGACGGCAAAGGCGTGTACACCGCTCCTGTGCCTTGGGCAAGCGGCAGAATCCGCTTGTGCGATGCATTGGAGGCTGCCTTCGCGCACACATGCTTTAAAGCAACTGCAGGATCTGCAGGGAGCAAGGGGCTGAAGGTGGACAAGCTGACGGAAGAGCGCCGACGCATGCTGCGTGCCATGGTCAAGGGCGGCTACAACGAGCACGAGCAAAGGGTCGCGGTGATATTGGCATCCTATTCGACAAGTTCGTCATTCGGTGGATGGAGCGTCTGAAGCGTCTGAAGCGTCCATGGAGCGTCTGAAGCGTCCAGAATCCAGACGTATGGCAGAACCATTGGCAAGTGTCGAAGCGTTTGAGGGGTTTGAGGGGTTTGAAGGGCAGTTTCGGGTACTAGAAAAAAAGGATTTGGCGCGCCAGAGCCCCGAGCCCACAGTCTGCGCAAC